TGTTTGAACTATTTTTGCATAGACAAAAGTACAAAGCAGTGAAAATCATTAATAGGCAACCGTTCGATGGGCTGAATTGCACCGGCTAGTTTGGTGCGCGTTGCTGTTTATTTCTACAGTGCCTGAACTTCAATTTTGTTATATCCGTACGTATCACTGGATGAAAGTGATCGTTGAATTGAAATCATTTGCTCACGCATGGACAGACAATGTCTACATAAAGTTTCAGCTTCCTGTCCTTTCCGATTCCTGAAATCATGTTATTATTACAAATTTTACATTTTTTCGCCTGTGCGTGAGACGGAGGCACACGTGAATAATGATTTTAAAATATGTGGCTCGCATGTGGGATAGGAATGTCCTTGTGAAATCCCAAATTCCTAGCTTTTGTGGTGGTCAAAACCTAAAAACAGACATATACCGACAATCTCTTAAATAGGCGAAAATGCATAAATTTGACAAAACATCATAAAAACGAGGCCGACAGATCTTAATTTGTTACATTTTAATGATGTTTTGCGATATTGTCCTCAAAATTTTGAAATTTGCGAAAGACTGAACTAATTCAGCGGTAAATAAATTTTTCTGAGATTCATCGGATAAATTTTAGAAAGAAATTCGGCTGGTCAATCCGTTAGGAACGGCAATAGTGGAACAGATTAAAGATATTCTGTTATCCGAGCGTCTCAGTGACGAAAAAGTCAAAGTGGTAATCGACGTTCTGAAGGTACGCTTTGTTAAATGATTTAGATTGCATCATCTTCATTTATTTGGGAAACAGGGTGTTCCGCACATGAGCTGACGCTGGAGAATGTGCTTTTTAAGTTTATTTATTTGCAGAATTACTATTATCTGAGGTTTTCTACGCTTCCGATTCTCATATGTTGATTTCCACATTGAGACTAAAAGTATTTGTAGATTACTGGCCGTTATTTGGATGTGGACGAAGGAGCAAAGAAAATTAATGAGGTTCTCACGCAGCTTAACGCTATTGCAAGAGCACATCCGGCCATAAGCGAGTAAGCATTTATATCAGCTTTAGATGTGCCGCTGTTTGCTGGCATTAGAATTTTGCGAATTGAAAAAATTCTAGATTATTTTGAAGCCAGGTTGAACTGATTATGTGGACCATACAATCGGATTGCCGTTATAACTGTTAACTGCCTCAATTTTCAGCTCTGTCAAAGAGCGGATCCACAGCCTGCATAAATGGCGTGAGCATAATTGGGATGCACGTAAGATCAAAGGGGGTACGGACGACACTTCATCCATTGAGGCCAGTGTCCTTTTAATTTTTATGCGTTTTTGCATAATATGCAAAAACACATATTGTGACGATCCCAGTGTGTGTGTGTGTGTTTGTGTGTATGTGTATGTGTGCATGTGTGCGCGTGTCTGTCCGAGTTTTTCAACTCGGCAGCCAAGCAAGCTCCGGCGCCAAAATTTTGGGAGTGGGTTCCCCGATCAAGTGCCACCCCAGGACCGCGGTACCAACCCTCAAGCACGTCTAGGCCCCGCGTGCGAGCGCCTCGAAGTTGTGGCGGGAAAATCGCTAACTCGGGAACCAGAAAAGCTAGAAAGATGAAATTTTGGGATTATGTTTTCATCCAAGTAGAACTCAAAGATTTCATATTCAGCCCCGGGGGTTCGTAGTTCCCGCGTACGGCCCTGTGAGGGATCCTGGCGCGAAAATCGCTAGCTCGGGAACCAAGAAAGCTGGGAGGCTGAGACTTTCAGGAAATGTCCCCAACTCGTCTGCAACTTAAATTTATCAAATTCAGCCCCCGTCATGCGTGGTTGACATGCACGGCCCCGTGAAATTTTCTGGCTGGAATTTGGTTAACTCGGGAACCGAGAAAGTTGTGAACCTGGGATTTCAAGGGAATGGTTCTTGTCCAAGTATAGCGTGGATAATTAGCTTCCCGAAATTCGAGAACCGGTATGTAGAAGAGGTTTCTAGCTAGCGGAATTTCGAGTGATCTTATTGCAGCATGAAACACTGCAAAAACGCAT